GTCTCATACCTTGTTGCAATATGTTCAACTAAGTAAACGCACATTACATTTGCAGCATAACAAGTGCTTCGTAAACCGGTGTACCGTGTGGTCGACTGATGTACCACGAATAAGCTAAATATGCTCACATTTCATAAACCGGATGATTAAAGAACATGTCTGGGTGTTTACCTCGGTTGTCGCCCTACCAATGCCTTGGGCAGCTGCTGTAGTGACCGCCACCTTCCCGTCGAGCCTACCCATGTCGCAGCAGAGTCTTAAGTGCAGTGTTGTGCGTCGCGTTGGCACAGGACCGATGTGTGGGCGTAACCAACCCCCAGGGCAGCCACTTCCGCACATTCATGAATCATCACATGCTAGCCCAGGCCATCAGTCAACAGATTAAAGCGCAAAGGTCGGGGCAGATTTTGAACAACATGATAAACATTATGGAAAAACATCAACCTCAAATGATCAACATCTACAGTGCCGGTGGGACCCGCATGATCAGGGGTATGTGGCAGACAAGTCACGGCCGAGAGGCCCTGAAAGTTCAGGTACAATTAAATATGTTAAACTCATCCTCATGAGCCGTTTCTGAATTACTTAATTAGCTGTGGCTTGAAATTACACACGAGCCCCTGATAATGACCGCAACAACTTAATTCACGTCGAGTCAAATGCAATTTCAGACAGCCAAATACATGTGAATTCATACAGCCGTACACAGCATGGTTGTCGATCTTTTCGGCCGGCTATGACCTAATATGTGTTGTTCGCTGTCCTCATAAAGTCACGGTAATGATCAACCATCGGATTGTTCGTGGTTTCTTGACCAAAATAATGCCATTCATCCCATTTTCCACGTTATTTGCACATTTTTCAAAAATTTCAAACTGCTGGTGGCATTCAGTGCTTGAGTGTTAAGGAAGAACTTCAATAAGAGCACTGCATCATCTCCCAGCTCTTTAGTTTTACTGTGTACTTAGTTTTAATCTTAAAATTGGACATGAGTCTGCATCAGTGGCTGCCTTTGAATCGCATTCTGAAACTGCCAAAATACCAGACGAGCCGTTGACCATGCACTGACAAAGCTAGGCTTTTGGGGGGGGGGGGAAACCAGCTTTGGGGCACCTGTTGTAGGTATATTTATGCTTCGGAGCACGCACATTTTCTAGGCCATGAAAAACATAAGGGGCGTGGCTGGAGAGGGCATAAGCACAGCGTGGACATGCGTCACCTCAAAAGACTTCCCAGCTTAGTCCCTCAGTGGACGGTTCACTATTAATGTACAAGGACCCTCTAGCTCCACTGGGGGACAACAGGAAGTTGGGTGCAGTCCAAAATTTAAGTGATAATTTCTGCCCATGCAGCTCATTAGTATGAAAAGTGTCCACAGTTTTTTTAAAAGGAGATTATTAAGCCCCCAAAATGGAGATTGTGTAAATATTCGCCAGGATCAATTCTCCGATTCCTTGGGCTTTCATCTGAGCACAGAATAGATTTTAAAAAACGGAGTTGAAAAATGGTCCTAAGTGCCCGCGGAAGCAGAGCCTGGGATGCCATTTGAAAATGGCTGCCTGCTGACCGCGGAATTATCATATCGGGGGTGAATAATTTAAAATGTAATTGGTCAACTCACACACAAAAAATAAAAAGAAATGGAAAGATTAAGGACAAAACAGTGATTTAATTTGTTTGAGGATCCCCAGAAATGTTGGCTTCAAGTTGCATATTTTTGAGTCCTGAATAATATTGATTTGACGCTGATTTCAAAGTGGCTTGAAATCAATGGACTGCACCCGTAATCCCGCTGGCTGTCATGGCAAGGTGCTGTACGACTGGCTAGGCGGCGCGCGCTAGAGGGCGGCCCTGTCGTTGCACGTGCGTGCATCAGTCACCCTGCTCACTAGGCAACTCAAAGCTGTGAAGGACGAATTTTGGCGCACTTTGGTAAGCATATTTCCTCCCCAAGTGCTTTCGTTTTTGTCCACACTTTCTATTGAGTGTTTTTTTTTACTTTTTTACCTGGAAGGTTATGTTTTTTTGCGAGTGGATTAATTAAGCTACCTGGAAAAGTGATGAACGTCGCGTTTTCACACAAATCTCGTCCGGAAACTGGGCACGACCTGCCCTCTGCCTATATTGGACAGTTACTCTTGTTTAGTGATAGCACTAAAGAATAGTGACCTTTTCACTTTGTCTTTCCTTTTAAATAAGGTAAACATTTTCTAAGGAAATTATTTTTCAAAGTACGTCGATCTGGGGGTAGCCCAAGACTGGGTATCCGGTGGTATAAGTCCAATAGACTGGCTCCAGTCTGGGGCTAGTCTAGGAGTATGTATCGCCTGCATTCTCGCATGCACCATGACCATGTGCATTCTGCATGGGTAACTTGGTACTGCTTTCAATTCAAAGGCAGTGTTTTAATGACTTGAAGACATAAATTTAGACCTTTATTTCCATGTCATGATGGCTTTCTACCTCCTTTGCAGTCTCGTAAGGTTTGTGCATGGGGTGTCAATTGGCTTCCGTGTAAAGAACTCTTTCCGAAATTTCATTATTTTGGATTTTATGCTGATGAAAATTACCTCATGCAATGAGCCAAAGGCGTGGGTGGATGAGGTCATTTAAGGCTGAACAGGAGTATTTTATTTAAAACTACATGAATTGCGTACATCACTAATGTTACCACATTCCGGTACACCAGATTCCTGGCTACTTCCTGAACCATCAGTTATCTTCAGGACGCAAAAGTCGACAGCGGTAATATACACTTCAAGTGCAAGATGGAGACTGGTTTCAAAGGTAAGTAGTACACTTTGAAATTTGGTCTGACAATCTAGGCTTCAGAGCCAATACACATCCCATGTATGTTCTAATGAAGTTGCAGTTTTGTCATGATTTGTTCGTATTTCTCTCTGCTCGAATGATGGGGGAGGGGTCCGGGGATTTATTCCCCCCCCCATGTCTGCCAAGAATAGTAAACTACAAAAGAAAAAGCAATAACAGGATGTCTGTTGAACCCCTTCCTTGAATCAACTTGAGCTTGCAGCATTTGCCCCCTGGGTTAGTGTACCCTCTCCACCTGTATCAGGGTACAGATTACATAATGAAATAAAAGACTAAGAGGGTAATTTGAAGTAGTTATTCTTTCCAAGAAATAAAATGAAAGTTCATTCACACAAAGTACATTTGAAATTACAAAACATACCTTTAGTATTTAATGGAGTACATGTTCTTGTTAACAATGTTAAACTCTTGTAACATAAAGTGTAACATAGCATCAACTGTGAAAACTTGTGAAAACATCAAGCAACAGCCAATTATAGACGGACCCATTACGTCCCACCCAATTATAGGACCTGCCAAAAGTGGAGGGGGCATGCTCTCCCCAGTTGGAAAAGTAGGGGGGGGACACTCCTACTTCTATCACCAGTGCATTATTATTATGCATGGCAAATGTTGTACGGATGAATCTTTAGGCATTCCTTGTCAACATGTATTCATTATGATAATGAAATATGCCTTGGCCACATGTGTTTGAATTAGGTTAAGTGACTATTATTAAAACGAAAACAACTGTAACTCTCTCCACACATTCATGTAGAGAGAAATAACTTGCCAGGCTAATACAAGAAGTGTATTAAACAGTTCTAACAAACCTCATTCTTTTTAACACGGCAGTGCATGTGGTTAAACTGTGCCATAATGCATACTTGATATAGTAATAATACATAAAATCATTAAAGACACAGAATGTACTCATGTTACATTTAAGTACACACACAAAGCAATTAGCACCCTCGACATTTTTATTAAGCGGTACACAGAGCGCCCTCAGCTGTTCAGTTTTAGTTCTGGCAGTGCTCCACGCAGGTGAGAGGCACGATATCAACCTTTGGTTTTTTTAGGGGGGCGGGGCAAAGTCTGCCCCCAACAGTGACCACTGCATAAGAGAAGGTAGTTCCTTATTCCACTTAGTCTTTACTGTTGTCACTTCCTTTCCTAAAATTTCCCTACCGGTGGTTTGAATGTGTTGAAATTGACCTTATTTCTTCTGATCCCGGGAATGGCGCCTGTTACTGAAGAAGTTTTAGTTGCAGTTAGAAAAGTAAGTTTACCCTGCGTGATACCAGTGATATTCTGTTGTGCATCAGGCCCTGTTACAAGAGGTGCACAGGGCTCGTCCCATGCCTGGAGGCGGTAAATACGAAATTCTACAGGTGCATACTTCTTTGTTGCTCTGACGGTGCCGCTTTCGTCTTACGTGGCACTACGGGCTTCAGTCGCTAGGAGCGGGTTGTTCGTGTTAAACGGATGAGACGTAGTGTGTTTCCCCTCGGTCTGGTGCCGGGAAAGGGCCGTGATCGGACTGGAAGCTGCTCCTCTTTGAGCCGGAGTCCGTTAGCATTGGCTCTGTTCCAAACAAGGGAAGAGAGGGACAGAAAATAATCGTATCTCGTGGATTTTGGTCATGTCTTCCTAGATGAGTTTCCACCGATTTGGTATGATTCTGTAGAAGGATTTTCACATAGATTTTATTCACAGGAAACACTGGATGGTTTCGTTGCGAGTTTGGGGATGGAGCTGCAAGTTATGTGAGATCTTTGGGGGGGGTACCTGTGTGATTTTGTTTTCAAGTTCTCATCCAAAGCTTAAATTGATCTAGATTATGACCAGTCAACGGTGCATTGTGATCACGTTTGCAGCACTATAAAGATGCAAATCATCCAAGATAAAAGAGCCTGATTAGCTTGTTCACTTGGGAAAAAAGAAACTGATTTCTGAAGTGCCGATGAAAGTGACAAATGGGTGATGCTGAGTGCAATTTAAGCAATTATGAAATGTGGAAGTGTTTGAGCTAAAGGAAAATTCGTTGAGCCTTGCCTGCGTACCGAGTGCATGCATTTTCGCTCGCTACTTCTCCAAACCGAGCAGTTCCTCACTCGAAAACGAGAGAACAAATATCTTTTTCTTCAAGCTTTGGGATGTACATGTAAAGTTACAGTGCTCTGAGTCACGAGTCCTTGCCGACGAATGTGATGATGTTTCCACGGTAATCCTGGCGACCGTGTTTGTGCAGTTATTCATTTCATGTTCGTGGATGTTAAAACACCACCTCTGGTTGTTGAAATTAATGTAAAGTGTAACACTCATTGGACAAGAGAGACGACACAACATGAATGGCGGCATGCTTTGCTTGTTAGTACATGTACTATCTTGTGAAGTATCTTGATCATCGTCATGACACGTACAATAAAACAAATAAAATGTCAAGATTTTAGCATTTTTACATCAGACCGTATGTGAATGAACATGGGAGAGGAAATGTCAGGAACGGTACAGAAATGAAATGAACCAACAAAGTCACAGGACAACGTGCTGATTTTGTGAAGGATGGCAGTGTATGCTGGTGAATTACCATGATGAGATGGAAGTGGACGATGTTTGCGCATGCGCAGGTGATACCATGCACTAATGAACTCTTCGCAAACTGCTTGGTGTACCGCTGGTGTGTGACGTCAGACTGTTGACCCGGGACGACCTGTCGCCGGCCGAGCCAGGCGTGAGGCTGGACCGGCCGGTGACGTCGGCCCCCCTCCCAGACGCGATGCTGGCCCGGATGTCCACCATGGAACGCGCCGAGTGCAGGCTGACCATGCTCCCGGATCCGGGCACGGTCAGCTGGCTCGTCCCTCCAGGGGCGTGCCGAAGTGCTGCCGCACCACCACCAACGCCAACCATCCCAAAACTACCGGCCGATTCCTCGTCCAACGACATCGCCCGTTCCCATTTGTGGGAGAGCAGGCCACGGTCCTCCTCTTCGTCGTCTGGTAGGCATATCTCGGCAATCTCCGGCACGCTCAGGCGCTGTTCTGCGGTGCGGATGCTCGTCCTGGCGACCCTCGGGGTCTTGGGCGCGGACGGGCTCTCTGGCTCTTCGTTGATGGAGTAGAGTTTGGTGGTGATGTCTTTACCCACAGTGGTCTCAAAGACAGCCCGCATAAAGCCTTCTTTCCGCAGAAACTTGTCCAGAGCTTTCTTCTGCCACTGTATGTAACGACAGTCCATGTCAGCGGTCACCGTCACCTACCCGCAGAAACACGGAGAAATGAAACGTTATTACAAATCATTTGTCCTTTTGTCTACTTTTGGAAGAAATCTGCCGATGTTCAATTTTTCATTGGAAGACTAAAAAACTTTTAGATACACAGTACTGACCCTCACCTGCCAGCCACATTCCCTTCGTGGCTATCAGATATGGTGAGTTTTGGGATACTTTCTTGATATCTGACTCAAGTTCGGATCCACTGAGGCTGGCGCGTGACTTCGAGTTTTCTTCTTCCAGTTTGATGCCTTGGAGGCTTTTACACTGATTAATATTTTCCTTCCATCAACTCCGAAAGAAAGTTTCTTCATCATCTGCTGTCCACGATTTTTGGAGGTGGATAAGATGGAGTGTTTGGTTTCATGAAGAGAAATGAACAAAACGACAGCTCACGTTGTTAAAGCGAGTATCTTGGGGGCGCTCTAATGAAGTTGAGTACTGACCTCGATTTCAAAAGCCACTTTTTGATTGTGTGTGTTTACCTACTGGGGAAGGAACAAACCCGAAACTGGCCTAGCAATTGGTAAAGCTTGACTCACCTGGAAAGTGGACGGTCCGCAATTGGACCGACAGCCCTGCCATTCCAGCGAGTCCAGGAACTGCGTTGGGTAGATGTGATGTAGAAATTTACCTCGGGCCGTAACTCGCATCCTAATGAAGACAGACATCAAACACCAAAGTTTACATCAGCATATCTTTGAATCGTCTCGCCCGACTTGGCATTTTATATATTTACATACAAGCAAACCTCTTCCTTTTGTCGTGATGGATTTGGAAACCAAATAACCTTTAATTGTAAGAAGAAAAAACAGCATTATTTTGATAATAACCCCCCCATCAGCTTTTTGCTTAAAAATCTGCATTTAGATTCAAAGGAATAGCGCAAGTAGTGAATTAGAAGAAGGAAAACAAATCAATGTGCAAGTCCTTCTAGTATTTTTGTATTTTTCACGTTGGATCACCAAGTTATGTTTGTTGATTACCGGTAGTTCATTTTCTGTAGTGTACATTTTATGAGAAGATTTTGCATCCCGAAGAAAACCATAATGCCAGCCGTATGCATGCCTTTCATCTGAAAGGCTGCTTGCCTTAAAACGGAATACGTGCTCTTCACAGTAGTGCGCCTTCAAGAGTTTGCAACACTGTCGACCGGGTCGACAGATTTCGCGCACTGTGATTGGTCAATGCGTTGCAAACTCTTGGACACGCACTATTGTGAATCGACCAAATTCAGAGGATGGAATTTCCTGCAGTGCATTTTCCCGTTTGGTGTACTGCGACTTGCACACGCAACAGCCGTTTAATATTGGGAAATTTAATCTTCATGGCATCCCATGAAAATATGGAAAATGAAGTAATGTATGCGAGTTGAGTGCGTCGCTCCTTCAGTAATTAGAGAACAGTATTATATTACCGACCAATGGTGGCGCTGTTTTGGTGCTCCACAATCAACAATGCGGACCGGGAACTTGTTTATTGTTTGTTCAGCATCGTTGTGCAGAAAAAAATAACTTTATGATGTCAGATCAGTGTTCCGTGGTAATTGACGGTTAGAAAGACGCTACTGAGATAACATTGTGAAAATCACTGGAGAACATGCATTGGGACAATTTCCTCATAGAAAGAGACGTGGACATGGGCTTACATTGCTGCGTTAGTGTGAAACCGTGTGAAATTGTTGCATTAATCATGATTAATTATATTTTAGATTTTATTGACCATGCATAGAGTCAATATAACCATTGGGGTGTAATATTTTGGCATGCTGTAATCTTCTTCCAAGACAGGTCAATCATTCAACCTGTAAAGTGAGTCAGGCTTGATTGAAAAAAAGAGTTTGACAGCGGGCCCATTACCTTAAGAGGTTTTGATTTCACACTTTCCTACAGCGCAGCTGCTGCGCGCCAAGAGCAGGCGACCAACGCGGGCCGCTACTAATGCAGGCTGGCCTTAATCGGTGTTAACTTCACGCGTGTTTTCGCCTACGGGATCCGTTTTTCCGCCCGTCGTCAGTATCCATGTTACGGTAATTCACCGGCGAATCTCCCCAGGGGAGAAGCAACACGGAGAGACGACCTCTGCGCCCCCCCACACGCACAGTCGGCTCTTTCGACGACACGGTAATGAGCTCGGCTGTTATCACTCGGAGAGCGGACTGATGAAGCGCTATCGGTGTTGACATCATCTTCAATTTAGCCCCCGCTAGAGGGCACTCACAGATAAAAGAAGTTGACCTCTGTGTCTTATCCCTCTCAAATGATATTTACTGTTGGGCATTGCATGGAGGTCTCTAGTACACGACTTTGTACGTCAGTTGTTGATATTTGTCCGATGTTAAAGCTTGCATATCCCTCATAATTTGGAAATGTAATGGCTATGAGAGATCAAAATCCACCTAAGACAAAGACAGAAGACAGTCAAAGAAGCAGTATACAAACGGGATGATATCACTCGTATCTTACATGGCAACACTAACGCATGCATTGTTTTCTGTATTGTGTATAAAATATGGAACAAGGCGAAGGAAAAGGTTGTGTTTCTCTGAAGAGAACATTACATGGAAATTTCTGGAGGAAAGGTGTGATCTATCATGGAGCAAAATTTCATGAGATATACGATTGGAGGATTCGGGATTGTTGGGCTCAATCCTACCTTCCTGATATCAGCAGTGACAGAACCCTATCTGTTCTGGTACGGCCCTCTGTGGCGTAGTGTCCCGTCCGGTCCAGCTCGTAAATGTCGCCGCCACTCTCCAGCATGACGCGGAACTGTTGTCGGGAGACGTTGAAGGGCTTGAAGAGGGCCTCGTAGACCTTCTGGACGTCTTCGTCGAAGGTCACAGGGTAGGTCAGGTAGGTTAGGTAGACGAGGTGGGCCACGTTGGCGAGAAAGGCAGCCAGCTGCCAGGCCAGGCCGTCGGGCCAGCAGAGCGCGGGCCCGGCCCACAGCACGTGGCAGAAGAGGCCCAGCACCAGGCAGACGCGGAGCCAGAGGGCCTGGTAGATGCCCACCGTGGGCGGCACCAGGAACCCGTTGACGATGATGAAGCAGCCGAGTTGGTAGACAGCGTGCTGGGCTTGCTGCCAGCCGTCGCAAGAGATCGGTCCGTTGACCCATCCGTTGGTGCCGTTGTTCAACATTTGCTGAGCCACCATTATTCGGACCCTATCCCTTTAGATTTGAAATACTGTACCATTTAGTGACAGTCCGGTGTACGCAGGGCATCGCACGTCTATCGTTATGGTCTACATTTGAAATATCGCTATAAGTCAAACAATCTGTAAATCTAATAAGATACGTACGGGTTTATCAATGATACAGCAACCCGTCTGCTCATCGTATTGCAAAATCTAAAGATATACGACGATCCTTAAAATGACAACACGCCACGCCACAAATTGTACTTTCCGAGCAGGTGAGTCGTGTGAAGATTGCAGGTATAGCGTTGAGTGACCCACGCCAGAAAGTGCGTCGCTGCTATTTTCTCCAGTCCGAAGTGCTGTCGGGGTACGATAGCACTATTAAACCGCCCGGTGCACACAGTCTGTGGACACGGTTACGTTTCGCCGTGTCTCACTGGGCCCAGTGCGGGCGCTAAGTGTAGTCTACGCTCAGATGACTGAGCGCCTCATTACATAAACACACAGGCATACCTACTGATGTAAAACATAGCCAGACACCCTTCCCTCGGTGGATGTCTTTTTTTTTACTCTACGTAGCGATATGGATCTAGTCCATCAAGGTATATGACACTTGTCTCCGCGGATGCAGCGATTCAGTGCGTGACTCTGCGAAGAAAGGAATGGCAGTGATGCGAATGGAACGCGGGAACCCTTGATTGTCGGCTGAGGTGAAAGGTCGCGCCAGCCGGTCTGAAGAGGATCCTTGAGTGTCACGATATTGGCCTGATTAGTCTTGTTCTGTTCAATTATTTTCCCCGGGGGGAAAAAAAGCGAAAGATCTTGTCGATACTTTGCCTGCAAGCGCGGTGTTCTGCAACCTTTGTCCCAGCAAATTTGACTGAACATAAAGTCTGGTGCTGATTGATTTTGGCCTTTTTACGTTAGTGTACTTGTGAGAATGTATGAAGCTTGTTCCTTGTTACAAGATGGGACTTTTCAGGAAAGTGTTTCCACCTTTCAGACAACAGTATTTTGTTTATTATTATTATTTTGGTTACAGTGCCTTAACGTGGAGCCAATCTGTGAGGTATTTTACATGCATCCCATAACATAATTTCTTGATTTTAGTGCCTCGTCTTAAGTCATCTTTTAATTAATTCAAACGGTCTCCATCAAATACTACCAACCTCTCATTCGCCTTCACCGTGAGCCGACACTTTTCAAGTCATACCGCAGAACAAACACTACAGAAGCGCTGACAACAATTTGGATGCAAATTGCCTTCCGTATTGAACCCCTCATTTAGGCAATCTCCCGGGCGCGTAACTAACCACCTCTTGTCAAAGTGAGCAGTAATTATACGGAGACCAGGCGCGCCACTGCTTAAATTGGTAGGCACGCGGTTGGGGGGGTTCTTACGTGTACCCAACCGGTCCACGCTAATTGGCAGGCAAACAGAACGCGCTGGTCGAATCTGCACCCCATCGTTAATTTGAGCTAAGTGTCCCGAGAGCTACAAGGGTCCCTGTGGCGCCCTGTGATGCACAGCGATCGACGGTCGCTCCTGCGAAATCCATCAAGTGGATTTGAAAGACTAGACCCTGACCCTTTCAACATCTTCAACTGGTTGGAGGATTTTTGCTGAAGAATCTCTTATCACTTGTTTGATTCAAAGAAAGACACAGTTATCTTTCAAAGACGCCAGAACGAAATGATACCGATAAATGTCTACAGGTGAAACTATAAATATTTGTTATTTTCCCTTGGGAATTAAATAAGCAGCATCAAGTGTCTGGCCGTGTGATCGAGACATCTGCAGCTGCTGAAATTGGTTAAATACGTTGGAAAACACCAGCAGTTTGTCAGCCTCAGTTTCTCATTTGTTTTCAGTTTGATGAAGAGGAAATTTAATTTTGAGTTGTGAATGGTTGTCCTTGGTATACAGATGAAATACTCTAGAGAGACCGTTGTCCATACAGAAAAAACTAGAAGCTGGTGGTACTCTGGGTGAACAGTCAAACCTGAAAACCCAGAGAGTATGTAGGGAGATGACGGGATTTATGGACCGAAATCCGCAATAAACCCCCTTAAAACCTGCTCAAAGTGAACACCATCTGGTGACCTGATCTCTTCTGCGGACAGATATTTGGTTGCATTAGTGCACGGTGCCACTGACATGTCAACCATGTCGGAATGTCTACGCGGGTTACATTTCGAGGTGCTGCACTTTGCCTACCAGAAGTCCGTTCATGCTGTTGGCTGAACTTTTCAGCGAGTTCAAGGGGCCCGACTTTTCTTGCGTTGTATCCTGTCATAGCCACAATCGGCTTCCCTGAGACTCACGTGGGGGTTCATTAAACAAGGCACAGTTGTATACCTCTCTGTCGTGTTGGCAGAACTAGAAGCAGATGCATGCAAATGGTTATTTAAGGTGAATATGAACATCTTGCCATTCTAGCATGGTTAATGTACGTCTGCTTCGCGGAGACCATACGTTGGCATGACTCAATGTTCTCAATGTTGTTTGCTTCGGAAAGGAAATGGTAAATGTCCAGTGCAATTTCCTAATGTCAGTTTAGTTTTTTTTTTTTTTTTTTTTTTTACATATTAATAACATTTCTGGTCTTGGTTCTTGGTGTCTCCCTGAGCATTCGAGAGCCACGTCAACCAAAGTCGAGCCAGACCTTTATGATTTGCATAAAGCAATCAACACACTCCTTGGAAGCTTTGCCTGTCATCGGTGCATAATGCATTGACGTGCCCGGCAGAAAAGATAGTCAACAAACCCCGCCAAGAGTATTTGAAGCCCTGCTCGTCCCGAAAGGCTTACCTGTTGGGCCCTACGTCTGCGTTTCCATGGCAACGAGGTAATCATTAATCCCAATGAGAGTCTCACTAAAAAGTAAGGGACCATGTTATACGGCTTATTATTTAGTAATGGCCATTGGCCGGTAGTTTTTAATCTCCAGTTGCAGTGTCGCCGTTTTTATTTACTTCTTTCTAGTCCAAGGTTTTGGTAAAACCGTTCATCCCGGTGCCCGCGGCTGCTGAGGTGTTTGTTCCCATGGTAAATATGATTGACGTCATGCAAATCATTTTCGCCTTTTATCGTCGAATGTCTGACTTGCCCTAAGAATATCCTGCAGAAATTAGTATGTCGCATGAATATCGTAGGCTAGAGTGTTGTATGAAGAGATCTCGAGGCTGCATAGATTTTTGTTTGAGAACAACCCTGATGCGTCTTGCCTGTTTTGTATCTTCAAGTGTAAAGCTGTGTTTCCTCGGCAGCACTTTTTACTCTTATACGTCTTGAATACAATAATTATTACTGTGGTAGATTCAACATCGTCGTGTGACTGCTATTGTAAGCGAGTGACTAACTGGTTTTTTTTTAATGCAAAATTCTAAGATGTAGAATTTTTCCAGTCGACCATGTAAACCTCGGATACTAGACAATTGTTTTTATGTTAACCGCAATAAATTGAGCTTCATGTGCTACTTCTTCTCGTGCTGAGGTGCACGGTTTTCCTTTGCAGTCAAGTCCGGTATTGAAGCTAGTGAATGATTTATCTATTCTTGATGCCGGACTATTTTCACCGTTTCAACTTTAAACATAGATATGGCGTGCTTTGATCCCCCTGGCGAACGTTTGATTGAAGTCCATCTGATTAACTCTCGGAGTTTTTTTTGCGGCGGCAATAAGATTGCGTTCCTGAATCAAAATAACTCGGTGGAGCTCGTCTGCCGGCGTCGTGCGTCGAACCATGAAATATGGGGTTCGAAATGAGGGAGCTCGATTGATGTCGAATCGCGTCTGGTATGTTTTCCAATGGCGCAGATGCGACGTTAATCATGTTTACGGTGAAAGAAAGGATTTTAATTAAGCCGGTCCATGAAACAAAACACGCCAGTGCATATGATGGGAGGTTTTTCAAAATGTTTGCCCAGATTAAAGTGGACAGTTTTTAAACGACCCTTACTGAGCGAATTACTGGAAATTGCGCGTTGTTGTGAAGACGTCTTGGTTGTTTTGAGCATCTACTAAGTCAGTGTAGAAAGAAAACGTGTCTCAAGAAGTCAGAGGAGCCGTTGGGAAATTTGACCGGACTGAATTGTAAACCATAAACAACACAGTTTTCCAGGTAGGCCTATTCTAAATCTGGCCGTGAGGTCTTCCCCGTGTATATTATCTTCTAAACTTTAACAACCCAAGGGCCGTACCTCGTTGAAAGACCTTGTTGCAGTGGCATCATTTCCTACGAAAAGAGTTTGTGCTACAGCAGACGTGATGTTGGTAGACGAGGAAATATACCACCTTGGGCATGTTGCTCCTTCTGTGTTGTTCATATTTACTTTTACGAAGCCTTGCTGGGGATTTACTGTAATAAACTGACAATCAAGGTTGGTCCCCCAAAAATAAAAAAATCCTTGAGGTTTAATTTAGTTGATGCTTTCGAATTCTCCTTAGCCCTGAAACTGAAAGACACGCAGTCGCGCTCAACACTCCATATGATGCAAGATTATGGGGCGGAGAGAACCCCCTCCCCGCCTTTGTGTTGGTCACTGTTTAATCGGAATCTAGGGGGATGTGTTAGGTAACAATAGTCTAGAGTGTGTATAGGGATTGGACATGTGGGGTTGTACCCATCGGCCCCATATCGTGCATGGTATCCAACGCGAACTCTAAATCATTACCGCAAATCAGCACACACCCTTCAGTGTGCAGTTTTGTCACTGCTAGAATGTGTATTATTGGTTGGAAAAAACACACACGCATTTCTTAACCCACAAGAGCATGCCATAGACTCGTGCACGTGTAAAAGCTGTTCATATTAAGCTCTTTAAAAAAGGAGAGCATACAGCAGACTGTAATGAAAGGAGCAGACTGTTTTGGGGTTATTTCGCATTCCTCTCACAGCATGCGTCTCAACTGAAGCTCGAAACCTCACCACAAGCGTTTCTTACATTGCCCTTTAATCTCCGATCGCTGATGATTTACCCAAGCTGATTAAATCGCTAAGTTTTCATCTGACAAAGAAGATCGATTCGGTGTGTACTTGAAGTGATACTTGAAGTTAATTATCCTCACAGCCGCGTTGTTTTTCTTATTTCAGTGTTATCCGCTCTTTTTCAATGGAAGCAATATCATTAGTATCAGATCAATTCGCGTAGGCGCGCACGTCCACAGTTGCAAAGACCTATGAAGATTTAGGTGCTTTAAAAAATTCACCGGGAATAATGGCGATGCTCCTGTGGCGAGACGGCAGCTGTGCAGCTGGCCAAAAAATGTCCGGCGTGATGGCATTGAGACTGAGTGACGAGGGGCTATCGCGGGACAGGTACGGCCGATGGAATTTCCTCCGAATCCCGTGCGTGTCTGGAGTTGTCGTCATACTTTAAAGAGGGAACCAGTTTGTCCCGAAGGCTTTTCTAGCTATTTTTGAGAAAATAACGCATTGGAAGAGTGAACTGAAAGGGTTCCGCGCCAGTTTCGAACCCGCATTATCGCTTTGGTATAATGGTTACCAAGGGTCGCGTGTTTTTTTTTTCACCGGTGATGTTGAGTCAGTGATCGCATCCACGTGACTCCTCAACACGTGGATTTGTCTCACTGACATCGCCAAGAGGTTTCTGACTTGGCCTTTGAGGAGAGGGGGGGATGTTACTTCGTATATATGACAGTAAATGTCAATGTATTCTGCTGTCGATAGGGTGCTCATATCCCAACATTTGCATGTGTGCTACAGAGTATTCCATGGGGTAATTGCGTTTTTTTACAACCGCGACTTGTGTATGTTTGGACGTTCAAACGACTGTAGATTAATGGTTGTTTCTCCGAATTTAAAGCACTCGGTTGTGTGTTTTTTCCCATTGCGGTGTAGAGAAAGCAGGACCTGTTCGTTCCATGTATTCAAAGACATTCTTGCTGCATCAGAATTTGGGTATATTTTGTTACACTATCCGTCCTTGCCTAAATCAAGACGAGAAGAAATTTAACCAAAGTGCGGTCACTTTAACACTTAGACGAAAACGTTTTTGGCATGAGTGTTTGAAGATACCTTCTTTTTTTTAAAAGTAACCCATAATTATGTGATCAGTTGCTAAATAAGCGGTTGTTGCTGAATAACGTCGTTAAGTACTTTTAAACAAGAAACAGTGTCCAAAATGGCAGACTTTATTTATATTTCTTCTTATTGATATAGTTAATTGAGTTCCCAGTAACGGAAAGACCCGACAAATAGTTCTATATCGACCTGCCGGACCATCTCTCTTGGCGTTCCTAAAGTGCCCATAGAAGCGACCGCTCCTGCGTAGCCCGGCCCGAAAGCGCCTCATATAGCCCCACGAGGTGTTTTCCCAGCTGTTGGTAAAGCGGCACCATCTTTTCCAATACCTCCGTGCGCAGACAGAAAGATTCCTGCGTTAATCATTGCCACCACGCGATTTTGCATCGGGGTAATATCTTCGGGCCGAGGTGTGTTTTTGTAATCGTCTACATTTTTATGGCATACCGCCGGTGAGATTATTTATGTAATGATGATTTATTCAGACTCGTCTCATATTAGGGTAGTCCCTCTACCGTCGTGGCGGGTTGTGAAGGACATAATCGAATTCACTCGTGCTGTACAAATTTGACTTAAGAGTCCGATTTCACGTAGTCCAAACATTACTGCAAGTCGGTAGTCCCGACTCGACTCGACTCGACTGCGCACACACGGGTCCGTCTCCTGATTATTGCATCGATTTGGAGTTTGAAATTCAACCTTTAATTGTGACCACGCAGGATATCGATCTTGTGTTATATTCTTTCCTTGTCCTGTGTGGTAGGCGTTGGTCATTGCGGTTCAGTGCTCTCAATCAGGTAGTTCACCCGCGAACAACACTTTCAAATTATCACTATTTTTTTCGAAACATCTGCAGTGCTTTTTTTTAATCTTCTGAGATGTTTCGATCAAATTGAATTAATCCATCTCATGCCATTTGCCGCACATCTTCGCCTTCTTGTATGTTTGTTGTTACATTTCTAATTAAAAGCACATTCTAGAAGAGTGTCCTCACATTAATCAACCCAACAGAACCGAGGACACTGCCTTCTGCATACCTGGACCTGTTTATCCGACCTGATCCATTTTCGGTGCTATAACCCCCCAAGATTAGTGTAACTCGATCGCAATATGCTGCGTTGCCTTTTCCGTGCGCAGTTGGTTGTTACATCTCACTTCTGCCCTATGCCATATAAATCTTGTTCCCCCTAAATCTCTGTCATCTGTATGTCAAGATTCCAATAATCCAACCGCGGGAATGTGAACTTTTTTTACGAGCATTCCCCTCAGGAAGTTGAGGAGAGAGCCGTGGGCGGCCTACCGGTTGCAGGCCCCGTCTGTGATGGCAGCGAAGCGTCCATCAGACCAGCAGGGAGAGCTGTCCCTCGTCTCGCTGACTCTGTGATTGGTTTAATGCGTCCCCGGCAAATTGAATTTTTCCTCTCTGAGCCATCTTCGGCTCTCGCGTCGCACCTACACCGCACACCGCGGGGATATAGCTCAGCGCAGCGCGGATCCCGGTATGCTTTTAGCTCCTCTTCCTGTCCGCCTCAGCGTGTTGACTGAGTTGTGTTTTGATTCTAATTTAATGCAGCTCGGAAAAAGTCATTTTAAGGGAACAACTGCTTGGGACAGTCAGAATGTTAACCATCCTGCGTTCTCTTTCAGAGAATTGCTTTTGGATGCACATTCCAGGGATGAATTTAGAGGAAACGTAAGCACAATCCTTGTAGGCCCACACACTGGAGGAAAAATGACACAGAACACGAGAAGACGCATAAAGATAGAATAAGCCTATATCAGTTTCGAACCAGTTTCTGAACATGGACATCCAGAGAACGGTCCCCAAGTACCACATACAGTTAAAGAGGTCTCGGCATCTTTCCATCACAGTCAGTGTCCAAACAATCAAAACTAGTTGCGAATTGGGCATGTGGGACATTAATAAAGCAACGCAGTCTGAGTGTAATGTATCGCGTTTTGTTTCCCTTCTCGACTTCGAGTGCTACAGAGATGCCACTCTCATCATGACACAAACATGGCAGCCTCGGTCAACTATACTGTGCAGATTCAGAGACAGATGTTTCCCTGCAGTTAGGGATCCGATATGTGCACATGTAGTAATCTCCCGCCCGAAGCGAAGGCGAACTCTCTCACAAGCCGTCCATTCCTTCCCGGCTTTCCCTTTTCCCGTTGTCGGTTTTAGAAAAGAATCGATCGACGGGACACCCACTGTACGGGTCGTGTGAAAGGGCTTAAGATGTAACCTATAAAACATGTTCTTATCGCAACGACTTCGAAGGAATTGGGGCATGAATTGCAGTCCGCGGACAAAATCACGAAATTTTCGATTCGGGTTAAGAGATTGCAGAGCCATATCAAATCTGAAATACTTCATCCACCGACGACTGTTTAGCTGCGTATCTCTGTCGGCTGCTATAGTGCTTTGACATTTTTACTCGGCGTCAGCCTAATGTATCGTGTGCTACAGGACAAAGGAACATCTTCAGGTTTTAACGTGGAGCTGTGCATAACAACCAGTGCCCCGCAAGTTATCATAATGGCCTGCACTGCATAAATCTCTTCTCCAAATGGCTCGAGCAAGCCGCCAATTCGGGGTGGTTCGTGTTGCACATTAACCCGCCTTTCACGTCCTGTTTTTGCTCTCGAAGCGAGTGCCTCTCCATTCGTCTCTCCATTCTGAAGTGACACTATCCTGGACTCGTCGACAATCAGTAACTACGACAGAGTCTTTTGAAACTCTGTTCAGTCTGGACACTTGACAAACATGATGCAAAATTTCCATTCAAATGCAGAAAAATTGAGTGCACTCCCAACTTTGATGTTTTAAATTTCATTGCATTTCACTGGCTTCGACAGTCAATAAAATGCGACAGTACCATGCATTGGTCTTCTACATCAAGGCTGAAAGAACTTACTATTTTTTAAATATTTACTATCGACAGATCGCCTCGGATGTATCACCATTCTGTTTAGGGAAAAATATGACGTAACATGCGCATTTTTAAAAAATGCTTGTGACTGTGGAATGCTTTTGGTGATGAAGTCACGAGCGAACTGGTGTCCATAGGAAACACATTGCAACACGCCCGATGACACCTTTGGTATATGCCCGCTTCATGATATGTTTCTTGTAGGTTTTCCGGGTAATTTCTTGCCTTCAGTTCTAAGCTTTAGTAGGCCTACTCTGACAAAAACATCTTGTTCCAAATGTCAGAGGTCTTGAGGTTGAACTTGACGTCATGTGCATAACGGTGCCAGCGCCAGGTTCACAGACATGCGTGGCTTTGGCAATATCCTTGCCTCTTCTTTTCTAAATATCTTCTAGCCTTTGGGGTTTTGCTTTTACCCAGTATTACCCAATTTTACCCAATGTAAATACTTTTCCAGTGTTAGAGGTCAGGCTGCTTGACGTCTTAACCAATTCCTTCCGTTTCTGTTCGCTAATACAGCGTTCAATGTTGCTATATTTTAATTACCTTTCAATTTGAATATTTAACTTTTTGGGATCGAAGGGAGAACATGGGTTTATCTCCTCTAATTGTCCGACCCAGAATTACTAGTTTCTATTGTAAACAGAATGAAAGATGTAAACGTGCATGGTTGTTTGCCTTTAAGCTACATTAGTTACGGTAATCTGGCGGCACCGCCGCGGTCGCCCTCGCTCCTTTCCTCTCTGGTCCTTCGCTCGCGAGACAACCAGGTGTTTCAAGAGATCAATCAATCAATCACATTTGCTCCAGGAGAGTTTTTGTCTGAGTGGGCTCTCCGACGGCTCTCCGAATCGAGCGGCACGACCTTCGTGGCGTGCCGTGTCGCGGCGATTGATCCCCCCTCCTCTGATTCTTTGCGCCCGTAGAGATCTCCGTTTGTGGCCACGCGACACGCCAAAGTTTCATTTCGGGAATGCACGCGCTGTTCCGCCGGGAGAGACTAAATTAAGACCGACTCGAGAATTTATTTTCTGATTGCATGAAGGACGGACGTGTTGGAGGTCATGACAGTCAGCAGATGTCATCAAGGTTGATTGCTTGATATCAAATTTTCTGTCTTGGGGTTGTGTAAATGTTGTTTTCAACATTCTTCTCTGTGACAAGAAATAGGTTTCAAAAGTGAATTTAGAACCGCTTTCAATCTGTATGGGCTACTTAAGGATGACATCCCAAGGGCCATTGGAGTTTAGACAGATTTTGTCCCCAGCATGTTTCTCGAGATTGCTGGATTGGCTTTCACGGAAGAAGCAGTTTAACTGTATCTGTTGTCAACAAAGAGAATCTTTCTAAACACATTATTAGTTTAACATCAAATATTTATTCAAAATATCAATGTCGATATTTAAAATCAAACAAACCAAAGATGTATCGTAGTTTAATACGGGATCACGTGGTCAGTGATGATAAAAGGCGTTATATCACATAGTTTGAGGCCAAGCCTAATTTATGAGATAATTGACAATTGAACTAATCATATCGGTTCTCTTCGCACCTTCGCCCATAATTTTGGCCACCAAATCCACCGAATTCACAATTCACGGAGATCTTTCTGACGTTCTTATTGATAGACCTGCATCTCCCTCTGGTATGTATCCGGTTCGTAAGTGACTTCGCGCCAAAGGCGGATGCGCCACGATTTGCAGGCTCTCATTGGACAATCGCTGAAGTTGCGTGTTAAATTCCAGTTCCACGGTTCCATGTAAACGGCGATCAATGCATGTAACCCTAGGTGCATTGCACGTGCGCAGTGTTCGTAGTTTAAACTGAAGTGACGTCACACTTACCAACCGGATACACGCAGTGACTTCCCTATGTGTCATAATCTTCCCGATTCGAACGACAGAGAGTTAACTATCCCAAACGAAAATAATAGAGATTCAGGCAACATCCCTCAACTTGAAAACCACTTTACTCAACAATACAACCGATTCACCAAACTGGACGGGCACAAAAAGTAGTCCTCAAGAAATTAATGTACAGATATCAGCAGAATCAGGGACAGGTTTTTGACAAATCTTGACTGAGCAACTCTGGGCATGAAATCGCTGCTAAAATGGTTTAACCACGGTACAGTCCGGGACAACCCGCTGCAATACGATTACCACAAAGAAACGAAAGCAGTGCTTATACAAATTAACTCGTGTCCTAATACTGATTATACTCTGTTCATTAAGTGCAACTGAAATAACAAACGTTAAGTCGACTTTCACCGCAGATAAATAAGAAATGTTAATATATTATCCGGACTGTATGTGTAGATAAAATGCCCTTGGCGACCATTGGCGTGTTAATATTTATACAGGTTTAACTGCGCCGCCAGCGAGCATCAGTCTCTTCCATGTAGAGACCATAGTATCAAAGGTGAGGATATCATGTACTCAGTTGTACCCAAACCTTCACTGTTCCACATCAGAGACGACCTGGAGAAGTCGACGATATGGTGCGACTTTCCAATTCCGTTTTGATCGACTAACGCGTCGATTGCGGTGCTGGTAAACACCACGGACGAAGTCGCGTATCAAAGCATCGAAGACTCCTTTGGCTGGCCAGACACAACAATGGAAACAACTCCTTTGTCTCTCAGGTCTTCGGCATCGTCTCGTTATCGCTTGGAATATACTGAGCAAAGATCGACGAAAATAATTGAACATTAGCGAAAGAATGGAGACTTCAACGTTCCATTTGAGAGCATTTTCTAATATGGCACGCATGTATTATATTTGAGTTCAAAACGGCAGCGCCGTCTGTGGACTCAATGAATGAGAAACGTGCGGTGCATTTCCCTGAGCACTTTGTTTCCTTTCCGTCTGAATACTGTCACAAAGAGTTTTTAATCATTTCATTAAAAGTTTCCCTCTGGGGAGATGTTGGCTTTCAATTTCTAAAGGAATGAAAAACTGTCTTTCGTTCACTTGTTTCTAAGTTTCATGTTAACTTTCTTCCCTTGAAAGGCGTGGTATTAAATTCCACTGTTGGAAGTGTTGAGTCCGAATGTTTTCGCCTACCGTTGTCGTAGGCTGCATCCTTGGCGTCTGCCCGTGGGCGGGGCTTGGCGAACTCCTGGCCGTAAGGCACCTGCAGGAAGCTGTCCTGGTTCTGGCTGGTCCCCAGGACGGGGATTCCAACCCCACAGGCCCCCATGCCGCCGGCCGCCAGGTGGCCCTGCAGGTCGTGGTTGGGCGACGCCTCCCTGGCCACGCTAGGTAGGCGGAGGTCGGCCCTGGAGCCCCGATGGTTGAGGTTGCGCTCTGTCAGCAGGTACAGCTTCCTAGTGATGTCGGTGCCGATCAGGTTGTTGAAGACCTGCTTCAGGTAGGGCTGCCGCTCCAGGAAGTCCCTCAGGTTGTCTCGCTGCCAGCTCATGTAACGGCAGTACGTGGTGGCTGTTAGGGTCACCTACGAGTTTCACATCAATAGAGGCTTGAGAAGTTTACAGATACACAATAAATCGATCTGTTCCAGAAATGTTTACCCGCAAACATCTCTCAGATCGCCTCCACCATGCAAAGTTTCAGATTTCACTTATCAGTCGAGGAATCTTAGGCCCTTTACTCAGAGTGATCATAGAGCAAAAGACCTATGTGATCCTGAATAATGCCTACATTGGCCTGGAAACTGACCAAATCAAGTAGTCGTTTCAGCACCTTTATGTTGGAGCTCTCAGGGTTACTTAGGGTTTAACATTGTACAGAAGGAAAACGAGGCCCTTGATAATGTCGCGGAATTGCAGAGGGCAATACTGTCTGTCACACCATCCCCGCAATGAAGGGGGTGAGAACATAATCGGCACGGCCACATTGGGCGTCAAAGTTGACCAGATGAAATTACTGAAGCCAATTATGCGTATGGGTGTCATTGTACGTTGTAAGAACGGGGTGTTCATATGCCATGCAGCAGGGAATTAAAATTGCTCTTATCGATGTCGAAGGTCCGAAAAAAAATCCCATGACATTTTTGTTACAAGTTGAGCTGGAACCAAGGCTTTTGTATCTGATGAATTGAGCAGCCCACACGGCTCCGTAAGCCAATCCAATTAAGCGTTGACCGTACTGAACCCATCCGCTGTTTGATTAGATAGAAACATGATACCGATGGACAAGAAGGCAGCACACGCGAAACACAATCTCACGAAGGTAATTGAAAGGAAGAGCGTTCTCTATATCCCCCCAGTGATGACTGAGAGGAAATTTGGGTCCGGAACCAAACCACCGTGCGATGACCTCCTCCCGTTAAGCAACAAACCGAGAAATCAAGCATGGGATTTAAAGCAGCCCCCATCACCTTTCTTGGGTCTTTGGGATGGCGGCCACCCTGCTACCTACGGCGCTTTGATAATAACTCTCTGACCGTTTGGTGATGTTATGCGATGCAGCACTGTGTTGACATTATGCGCGTGTATAGTCGTCCACAATACAGGGATCTGCTCTCAAAAGCTCTGCTCACAGATGTGGATTCATGATCCCTTGATTCTACTGTCAGCAGCCGCTCACAAAAACTCTTACATTCATGTACCTCTAAGACGGTGCAGTGACATCGTTAAAACAAAGTAGCATTTGGGTCCGTTGGGACATTCATTCCAGTTGAAATTTCAGCGTCAGAGAACTTCTGATAATCCCTCGCATTAATGTAAGCGAAATGCCTACTCGCTTTGCGCACTCTTCTTTGACGAAACGTGCAGCCCCGCGCACGCATATTTTTGAAGATTGTTTGCATTTTTATTGTAACCATTAGATCACGCTAATATGCGGTACCTTCAGAGGGAAACAGAGTTGTAAACTAAAAATAGAAACTCTTTGGTAATGATACCCGTGACTCGAATAAAGACACCACACCACAGTGTTGACAAAATTAGTGTTGGTAGAGGGATTGTGTTGATATACAGATTTCGCTTGCCGCATAGGGTAGCCTGTAAATTAACTAGGGAAATCAAATTCTTCCTAGAATTTTCTCGCAAACCTTCACCGGCAGAATTGATATGAACTGTAAATTATAAATCACAGTAAGGCAGTTACTGATATCTTGTTCTCTGGGCAACAATAAAGGTTTCAGGTTGGTTGATGTCAGTTCTGGTATTAAGTTCGTATTAGAGTCTCACGTCACTGTTTCAAACAGTCTTTGTGCAATCCTACCAGAGCACTGGGCGTTACAAGCTGGTGTTGGCACTTTGGTTGGCACTGTCAGACGAATGGGTGTGTTACTGCTCCGAGTTCATCGTGAAATGTTAACGTGTATTTCCCCAAACCATGTCACGAGTCAGTCTGTTCCACCGAACGACGGACAAAAACGGCCGGGCCCAGGACAGATGAATGCTCCATGTCACACCATGAAGCGTTATTGGATAGCCCGTAAGGCCAAATGGATTGATGCCCTAGAAATTAATGGCGCGAGACAGAACTTCAATGTCATTTTCCCCCCTTGCCAATTACCCTGGTTGGACGGGGCAATTGATCTATGGAATGAGCTGGATTTAGTTGATATATCGGCGAAGATTCCAGAGGAAATCGAGAGAGTATAGCTTCATTTGGTAACAAAGAGGTCTTAGGGTCAGAAGGAGTCCAAGATACTGTAAAGAAAATTGCAAAATATTTTGGAATCCTCAAAATAGTAAAACGACACGATTCCCAAATGTTTATGTAAGGAGCAGTGGGCGTAATATTAGCATTCTCGATACAGTGAAGACAGGTATGAAAAGAAAGTAAACTTGAGTGCATTATGGGTGAAAAAATACAACGAAATCGTAACACTTCTTACACTGATAGATGAGAAAAGCACACCACTCTTATTGTTAGATACCAAGATCGTAACACTTCCTACTGTTGTCTTACCTGGAAGTTTTCCCTGGTCTCGGTCTGACTGAAGGAGTCCCACTCCGGCGAGTCCAGAAACTGTTTCTCCTGGATGTTGTGGAGAAAATCCCCATCGGAAAACACCTTCACTCTGAAACCAAAATAAGACAGGCCAGGAAACAGTCGTCAATTCCTTATCAGTGAACCTCAGCGAATCCATTTTTTCTTAGATGGCACTGCGTGATCCCATGGGTTCTGTAAAAAAAAATTGCCTGGCTTCCTGTGGTTGTTTTTAAGGGGTTAAGTGACAGAAATATTTCTCAAAGTATTTCAAAAGAAAACTACACAAACCAACAACAGGTCCCTCTCGGGAGCGAAACCCGACTAAATGTAATAACAAGACTGTGACGTATGGTAAATCATTCTGTTGTTTACAATATTATATATCGTGTTGTTCACAGCAAAACACCTAGAGTGACTCTGCGTTTTTACCAAAGCTCAGTACCGTTGTCTTCAAAAAAGTAAAGCAATCTTACAACTTTCAAGAGACGGTCACTGTCTTGGGATTCCACGCAAAAAGTACGCGCAATCTGCCATTGGCGCGAATTTCACGACGCAATTTCCGTGTCGAAATAAAATGTGTTTTCGTCTGCCTGTGTGCCACCCGACTGCACGAAATTGCACGGCGCGTGCATCGCCAAAATTCCTGGAGGCTGGTCATGATTTACCATAAAAGGAGGTGTCAACATTTCGGCATTTTGTGCATATGTAGGCAGGGAGAAAGCAGTCGGAAAAAATTTACCGGCAAAGTTATTTGCATGCGAAGAAGAAATTTTGACCTAGCAAGAATTTTAGTGCTTGGAAAAATTCCCTAGGAACAGCGTGTGCATGTATTCTGTACAGCCCACCCGAATTCAACCACGCAGTGGTCCACGGGCCTCTCTGACAGCGCTCAGTCTGGTTTTTACCGCGTTGTCAGATTTTCCAATCATGTCTGTTAACAATGGGAAATTTTTCCGTCTGCATATGTCAAAACTACTCATTTTCTAGTTAGCATGGACATTTTGAGAGAAGCTAGAAGTTCGTGTAAGGGCTTCGCACATTTGAGTATTCAAATGTACATGTGCGCCATTTTCACAAATAGTTTTGAACCTTCAGCTTCAGTATAAAGTTTGTATCTCAGTAGGTAGTAGGATTAATGTAAGCGTTCAATTTCGTACTATACCAAGTCTGTGCTTTGTGTATTTTAAGGCACTAGAGAGAGGGAGAGGTATGTTGTGAATTAACATAATTGGCTACTATCCTGCCTTCACAGCATTGCATTATTAGGTATGGACTGTGCTGTTTAAAATCATTTGGATCATTCATAATTATATTACCATTTGTGACGAAGACTGATATTTTTTAGTTGCGCTTTGTCGTCGCCTCTCTTCTGCTTGTGCTTTACTGTCTCGGGAGATTTTTTAGGGGAAATCGTTAGGTGTATCTTCAAAGACCCGATTATGTCCAATCCCACAAAGATCCTTTGAAGTTTCCATGTTCTCATATCGAGATTGGAAATGCATGAGCCGAGAAGAAGGGGTAACAGGTATCATAAACGAAATCAGCCGTGTTTTCGACAGTGCTTGGGTACCAATCTTCTGCCAATAAATCTCACAGGATTTACCTGGGCCTATTTACTGCGTCGGGCGGCTTGAATGTCAGCGCTATACCCGTGTCTCCCTGGTGGACGGAGACATCGTAACGTATAACGGGGCAGGAAATGAGGAGATGGAAATCAACCAGGCTGATCCTGGAGACGAATCCGGACCAAAAAAAAAGCCCAGGAAATGGATCTCGGACCTGGGACGTGATGCTTGAATGATGACACGAATCAGTGTCGCGGACATTATCGCCTTTCTCGCGGTGCTCCAGTTCTGGCGTGACTCGACCTATTTGAAAGCCGAATATTTATCTAGGCGGGGGAGCCCCTATGTCCAATGAGGTCGGATAATAATGTGCGTATCACACGGTCATCACATTTTTGATTATATTTAAAACCTTCCTGCCTGTCTGACCTATGGGCTGACGTGACACGTGGAGTGGCGAGTCAGAAACCAGACACTCGGTGCAAATAAGCAGTGGCGTTTTGAAAGCAACTGGAGACCAGGTCTTCGTTTGAAGATGGTGCAAGGCATACGATCTTTCATGCCAGCTTATTAAGTGAAACAGACCAGGGATACATATTGTGTCACACTTTATGTGTTCATCGCTCTTGTCAGATCAAATCTGCTCTTTGGCCAATGTGATTTTTTTCTCACAAAACCGCAAGAAAGCTGCACTTGAAGACGGGTTCTTGTCTTTCAGCGTCCAAACCGAGACAAAAAACACGAGATGGAATAAAGATGAACTCAACTTGATCTTTGTCATATACGGAATGTGTTATTTGTTGCTCCTGTCCATGATCGTTTCTTAAGAACATGAAACCCAGATAACTATAGTGTTGATCCTCATCAGTGTATAGTTAGGGGCTTTGTGCAAGTTCAAAAACCTATGAATAAGTTCATTCTCTCGTATATATAAATCGACGTAAAGCATTCGATCCCCTATGCTTGCCTTGGTATCTAAACTAGGCTCCAAACATCATCGGTGTTGAGTGCATTTCAACTTAAGGTTTCATAGTATGGCTAAAAGCTGTTTTCAGGTTTCATGGTTTGGTTAAAAGTTATCGTTATGTTGCTTTGACCATGCATTGACTCAGGTGCAGTGTGTTTCACGGACTTCCTTCCCATTGTAAGCCGAGATCTTTAGAGGTCTCTTGCCCTTAGGTTTCATAAAGCAGGTTCCTTGTAATCTGATCAACCGCGCCTTTAACATCAAGCCTTTCGGAAGAGTCCGATGGCAGAAAGAAGATTCGCTGCTTGGAAGGGCATTTATGAAATGTAGGGCAGTCATTTGTCCAAGGGACGAATGTTTTGTCCGGGGTATAAGTGCTGTGAGGTAATTTGATGTCATTTGAAACTTCCTAGTCTTACCAATGTCTGGGTTGCGAAAGGGCACGTTGAAGTCTCCAGATGAGAATGCTCATAACGTCTTTTGTTGCGATTTTCACTATCTAAAATGTCCTTTGTAATTGGCCAAGTGAAATTCAGTTGGTGACGCCCGCAATATAGATGTGCCCCCAACATTCAGGGTTTTTTTTTTTTATTGATGACGCCTTAATGCATTTTTGGCGCCTGAAAAAAAGTGCGATCACTGGACGGATAGGTTCAAGCTGTACCCGTGACATGTGGCTTGTTTGATAATGCTAATGAAATGTTGGCGTACATAGTGCTGTAGAGAGAAGTACATCTTGTATTATAACTAGCTGTCGTCAGTGATGAATGAACGATTCTTGATGAATGATTTTTGAAGTGTGTGTGTGTTAGCCCGACAAAGACAGAAAACGTGCATGCACGCGATAAACAATGTGGTATTTGTACTGAACGTGATGGCGTCGCTATCGGGACCACTCGTTCCTTAGCGAAACCACGCTGTATTATAATACAAAAAGGCTGTGAGGCATTACGGGTACTAGTTAGACTCACTTGCCAAAGATTATGATGGAGAGGCGGTTGCAAGGCGTCCTCCCCTCCTCGGCGTAATGTTCCCCTATCTTCAAGGAGCTGATCTTGCCCAGATTACACAGGTCTCTGTACACTGTTCGGGGCACTTGAAACGGCTTGAATACGGCACTGTAGAGGTCCCTTTCCTCGCGAGTGAACCGTATGGGCCTGACTTGGAAGCCCAGGTACCCAGCGTGGCAGAGATTTAGAAGGCAGAAGACCAGGTTCCACACGAAGATGTCCACGGCGCACGTGTAGAGGAGCCCCCATAGGGACAGCGCAACGAAGCCGAGGCTGAGGAAGGTGTGCATGACGAAGGTGGCGGCGTAGCCGGTGGAGGGGGCCAGGTAGCCCAGAAGGAACAGCAAGGAGGCTACCTGGAAAACGATGCTCTGTATGGGCTCCCACACTGCACATCCGGGTCCCTGCACCGCGGCGGCCGTGGGGCTCGGGACGGGCGTGGTGGAGGCGGCGCCGCCGGCATCCGCCCAATTCCAGACGGCTGTGACCACATGGTTGGGATCCATGGACGGGGTCGGTGGATCAGTCGGCCCGGAGACTTGGATCATGTCGTTCCAAAGTCAGCAGTTGCGCCTTCCCGCTCTGCTTTCCCTGCTACCCAACTGTCTCTCAATCGACGGAGTTACAGCGCCAAACCTGCACACCAATAAATGACATTACTTTTAACAATGGTTACTAATTAAACATTGAACAAACCACCTCTACTTTCACTGGCCACATGGTATATACCTCTGATGCCAAAAAAGCCGGAACAAGCCTTGCGGGGCATTATGTAATTCGTGTAGCAAACTTGCATGTCGAGTTTATTTGAATATAAAAAAGACCAACTGATTGCTCAAAAGATGTTCCACTATTTCGGCTGGTTGGGTCATGATACATTCTTCTGTAAAGCCCTTTATCAAAGTAGCAATCAGTGTTGTACATAATAAGGTGTGTTCGTTTGACGTCACAGTTGTGTTCTTCTTACAGTTCGCTACAAGAAGTATGGCTGGCCGTTGGTATAAAAGTAAAACAATTCACAAAGTGTTAACGATTTCACGCAGCTACTTGTATTAGTACAGCAGATGATAATGCACGTAGGCCGACTACTAAACACTAAATGAAAGTACTGCCCTAACTAAAGTTAATGGGACAGATGTTCATTTTGATCAAATGTTAGGTAAAATCAACCAAAAGGTGATACTTTTGCAAACTTTAGCCGCTCGTACAAGTTGAAGGCAAAATGAGAGTGGTTTATTTTAAAACTGGTATGTTTCATCATCCTCGAATCGAATGGAAAATGACCTAGCGCAAAACTAAACAATCTTGAAACTTTGAAAGGATACCCTGGTGTGCATTTGTAATTGACATAAACCTTATTTCCTCCGCTATAGAGAATATTAACAACATGTGTGGACCCACATAAACAGACATGCCAGTGGGTATGTGACTAGATACAGGGCCATCACTGTACCCGTAGAAAGACATGCCTATAACAGATGGGTGTGTGTCTAGATACAGGACCATCACTGTATGGACCCATGTAGAAAGACACGCCAATAACAGATGGGTGTGTGACAAGATACGGGACCATCACTGTGTGGACCCATAGAAAGACATGCCTCTAACAGATGGGTGTGTGTCTAGACACAGGGCCATGTTGACCCAAGTGGAAAGACACACCAATAGCAGATGGGTGTGTGACAACATTAATAGAGGACCATCACTGTGTGGACCCAAGTAGAAGGACATGCCAATAACACATTGGTG